AATACCACTTATGGTATGTTTTTAAACAGTTAATACAACAGAAGAAAATAATAAAATAGATCCAAAGGATCTAGCGACAATGTCTGTTTCAGCGCAGATCATCATTGGAATTTCTTTGAGTATTATGTCTTCAGTACAGGGGCCATTACAGGGGCCAGGACTTGATCTACAGGGGCCCTGGCCCCCGTTGGCCCCTGTCTAGAACCACCCATGGTTATAAAGTCTTCCAGCTGCGGGAGGAAGGATCTGTGATAACGCTCCCTGGTGCAGTTCTGCAACAGCTTCATGCATGGGCTGGGAGACATTATCCAACAGAGATGTTTATTTAGTTAGGGTCCCTTTGTTTCCCACCTCCTGCAGTGAGTCCAGAGGGCGTCCAATCATCAGCTCATCCAGCCGCTTTCTCTCAGCTACAGATAAGCCACTACTCCAACAGACAGCTATGACTCTGTTGTGGCTGATGCCACAACAGAGTCATAGAAAGTCTGTTGCACTCAGAAAGACCTGAGTCTCCTCAGCAGGAAGAATCTGACCTTTCTTATATAGAGCCGCAGTGTTGTTATTCATGTTTAAAATGTATTGCTTTGTTTTGTTTTTGTTTTTTTTGTTTTTTTTCTTTAAAGTTTTCAAATTTTGAATACCTCTGTTTTTAATCTACTTTTAGACACATCATCTCAACCAAAACACCACGTCATTCATTTTTGCTGTACCGCTTTCCGTCAGCAGAGGGCGCCCTCTCCGGCCTCTAGGAGCCCCCTCCGCCTCCTCTCCCTCCCCGCCCTCCCTCCCTCAGCCAACAGATGTTGGTTTCTCCAGAGAGAGAAGCTGGGAGCCATCAGCTGAGAGAGACGCTCACAGTGAGGTGGACAGACGGCATCATGTGGGCCTTCTTCCCGCTGCTGCTGCTCGCCCTGCTGCGGCCCTGCGCCGCCGGAGTCAACCTCACCCAGGTAGGCCACCTGTTGGAGCACAAGGAAATGAACTAACCTCACATCTCTTTTGGTTTATTGTGCGACACCTTTTACACCTGCTTTATTAAGATTCATTAAGGGGGAAAAGAGAGATAATGATAAAAAGAAAAAAATATTTATTATTAATTTCAAGTTTTATTCTATTTACACCCTCAACCATTACCTAAAGCCTTGTTTTTATTGTACTATTTATTGTATTGTAGTATTATTGTGTATTCAGCCTTAATTAAATGCAATAGAATTTTTATACTTTGTTTTATACTTTGTTTCTCCAAGTAGGCTTTTTTTAATTAAATAATTAAAAGAACTAAATTAAACATTTTTGACCCTAAAAATTGATGTTTTCTATCTCACCTCCATATGAAACACCTTTTTCTTATGTGGCATATTTGGGAGAAGCTATAATCCACAATAAGTTGCAAGATGTAAAAGGGAAAAAAAAGAAAGCTTTTAATTGGATTATATAGGATGTTTCGGTTAAAGGTTGTGTCCTTTTTTTTGCAAATGGAGCAAAGTTCCTGTTGACACTGGACTGCAGGAGTTATTTTGCAGTGGGGCGGTTTGCATGGGGACCTTCAGCCTACACATTAGATACATAACAGCAGCAAAACACTTCTCTTTACTTTATTTTTTTACCTATAGGGATATTTGCCTTACAGTGAGGTGAACGGCACCGCATTACAGTCACAATCTGTCACCCCGAATAAAAACAAATAGTGGGCGCCTGTTCAACTAAAGTTTAAACAAAGATGACAACAACAAGATTTAAAGCTAATCCATTTTTCCCATCAGGAAAAGCTTTTTTACCCTTCTGCTGCTGGTCCCTCTAAAGTAAAAATGAGTGAATAAAAAAAAAAACTCTAATATTTGCTTTAAAATCTTGAGAAAGATCATGTTATTTCAAGATAGTTTGTGTTGCTATAGTAACAAACACATATAATCAACAAAATCATGGCATTTTAATACACTTAGT